AATAAACCATTTCCGAGGTCCCTTGTATCTCTGTTTCAAAACGAGTCTTCGTGCCAAACCTTTCAAGTGAAAATGAGTTTGATTTGCATGAAAATAAACTTGTGGGTGGAACATCTTTCCGTATGAATGGTTTTGCCCAAAGACTGGTTTTGATACCAGGGCACAAGGTGACTCGGAGGGGGCCTATTTGAGAATGGTGAGTGAATTACTAAACAAGTTTACCTTTCTTTTTTGTGAATGCATAGACACGGCTAATAAGACTGAGAAAGTTGCCCTTCTCAGTGAAATACAGATTTTGAAGCGGGCTGGACGGCATCCTAATATAGTCAACTTGGTTGGCGCATGTACTCAGGGTGGTAAGTTGCCAAGAAATCATCACGTGACCATAAGCTAATAAAACTTGATAATAACATGAGTTATCTCTACGTTTCCAGTCACCTGGCAGTTATTGAATGATTTTATACTAGTGCCAGGATGTTCAAAGCACGATTAAGCTACTCCAGGACAAACTTAAATTTCCATTTCATTTTTGTAACGTTTCAGTTCCTTTGCCCTTCAGCTTTGACTCGGTAGGATGCAGAGGGGTTAAGTATCTGTTCGAGCTAAGCCCATCCGGCGAACGTTTATAAATCCGGTTTTTGTCACGTCATTCTGTAGAATGATGTGACAAGGATTGTTTCTACTGAGCCCCTGGATGAGGTGGTAGTCCATCGCAGAGTTACTAAGAGAGGCACAGGTGTCTGACCCAAGTACACAACAGAATGGCCCCAGGCAGGGCTCGCACCCAGGGCTTTTACGCCAGCGCATAATCCATTTGGCTGCTACTTGACTGGACTAATCCTAAAATGTACAAAACAAAAGTAGAATAAAAATGCTTAAACTCTTATGGTGGTTTCACTGTCGAGCAATCAAATATTAAAATAAAGAATCTGGCACACGGCAGATGATTGATTTATAGACACCGTCGTCAAGATTTAGGTCTGTGCGGTTTTCCATTCGCGCTTTATTCGGAGAAGAGAAGTTTATTCGAAGGGAGCGGGGCACCGGGACAGCGAGAAAGTGTCCGCGCTGATTTATGACTAAATATTCATGAAACTTGGATACTGTTCAAAATATACGGAGACCCGTCTCACGGGTCTTAAAGAAGGCCAGGCTAAATAAAGCCAACCGCTATTTTTTATTTGGTTAGAAAATATTCTTCTGGTCACTGATTTGATTCCCGGAGGAACCCTTGAAAGTTTGTTGACTTCCAAGCCTGCCCCTGGTGAGCACGGCAAGTACGAGAATATCAAATGTGCGCTGAATGATCGGGACCTGATAAAAATTGCTCTGCAGATCGCCTCAGGAATGCAACACTTGGAAAGCAAGAAGGTGCGTGATACATCGTGTACAGTGTACTTGTACTATGAAAATATAGTTCCGAAGTGTCTTGTTCTGGCTCTACAAGAAAACATAGCCAAGTTTTGATGCGTCAAATGCCAAGAAAGGAAATGCATTTCATCTTCTCCGATTTGCAACAAATTGTCAATAAATGTCTAAGTGTATGTAAATATAGTTTCACTGAAACGGAAGCTGTCT